TATATATATGAATTCCGGAATTTAGTAGACAGAAAATAAATGGATATATACAATGCAACCATCACTTACCTCACTGAATGCTGAATCAATATCAACAATTGCTCCCACCAATGATTCCTTCAGAATTTCTAACTGGAAAGCTCCATCTCCATCAAACATGGTTGACAATGTAAACATATTCCTGCAGTGCAAAGATGTTAAATGCTTATTGTTATTAAGAGGGTGTTTGGGATTATTTATTTAAAATAGAGTGTGTTTTTTTTTTTTTTACAAACGTGTCTATTAGCTTGTGTGGTATCAAAACACAGTTCATGAAAAAAAAACGTTAGGATTAGCTAATTATATGGCACCAAAACACAGAATAAATGAAAAGCAGATGACTAACTCCTATTTATGCTCACTCCTCTCTCTTGCTTCTAATTGAAAGCAGGCTAACAACCTTCAATTCTTCTAACAGATTTTTCCTCCCATTTCTGGACAGTTAACTAACAACTTTGACTCATTTAACTCTTGACTTTTCCCTCTTCAGTATGTGAAAATTATATTGATAAATGAAGAAGAAAATTAAAGGGAATGCAGCTAGATATAATTGGATCTGTAAGTTGGAGGGTGTATGAAAAACAGAAGAGTACTGATATTACAGTTAAAATAAGGATAAAAGTGTAATTTGGTTTCACCTCTTATAAGCACTCTAAAATTAGTTAGAACTTAGAAGCAAACAATTTATTAGAAGTGTTTTTTAGCGGTACCAAACTGGAATAAGCTAATAACCATTTTATTTGACATTGTTTATGATTCCTCATATAAAAATCCTATAGTGGGGTTTACAAAAAAATAACACTTATTATCTAACAAATCTTCGTTAATTCAATCATTTTATTTGTTTTTAACTAACTTCCAAAACATGTCATGCAGCGAAAAAAAAAAAACCTTTGAGAAGCTCATTCGCCTGTAATTCTCATGAATGTCGACCCAAATCAATCCAAATGCTCAAGAGTCCAACTGCAAACAAATGTGGCCCATATATAATCATAACACTCACCACATATGTTGCATTATATTGGATCAGGCATTGCCACAAATCAATGCTAAAGAGATGATGATATATATACCTTCCATTATGAGAATTAGCATAGTCATGTTCTACTTCTCCCATATCTGGTAACATTCCCATTGATGTTGATGTGTTGGACAAAAAAGAGAATGCATGATTCCTGAAATACTTCAATAACATATTTGAGGCCATCTCACTAGCTTCAGCGCCATTATGTCCATCAAAAACTGCAACAATGCCAACTGGGGTATCTCTAGTGCCATTGTGGTCTACATAAGTATGAGAAGCCAACCATTGTTAATTTGGAGATATGCAGGAATTGAAGCTAGTAACATACATGAAGAAATTCAAAAAAACCCCAAGAAATAACTACATTATTTTCTGAAAAAATAATTGAAACATGCATGTTAATTACGTACGTGGAAAAGGAATCCGAATGTCGAGAGTACAGAAAGTGCGATCTTCCATGTATTTTCGTCGGCCCTGACGTGTAGCCGATTGACATTTTGTTGACTTGTTGACCGCCGCTGGTGCACCGCCTTCTTTATACACTGCCAAGCACGTCGACGCTTCGCCGGCGGTGGCACATGATAATGATAGGATCCAGATAAAAACCCCTAAAACGACTGCCAAGATGAATGCTTTTCTGTTCATTGCTTCGATAGGTAAACACAAATTGATTCGTTTCGAGATAGAATTGATCGGAAGTACTGCTTAGTTGATGATCACATTAATCGCCAAGTAATCCAGAAGAGTTGTTACCAAAGATCGATCAATGTTTTTATGCTATCTGAAACCAAACATGCAGAAAAAACACGAACACGCAGAATGAAGTAAGACGCAGACAAGCTGTTGAAGGACAGGCGAAACGATAGAAAAATAGTTAAAGACGACGGAAGGCGGTTGGACGGCGAGAGGTGGGTGGCAGGCGGCGAGGGCAACGCGTGAGGAGTACGGCAACACCAGCAATGCGTTTCTTAGGTAAAAAAACCTCCTGTTTCAGTTTCTATATAAATCTTGATTATTTCCAAAGTTATATAGATGATCATAGTTTATTTATTTACAATCGCAAATAATTGTAAATAAGTTTCATCACATGTATGTAACTTCATGGAAATCACAATATTCGGAAATATTAAGATAATCATTTTCACGATGCAAATTCAAACACAACCTTAAATATTAAATAATGATGATACGTAAATTAACCATTATAAATGTGGTTTTTTTTAATAGCTATTTTTTTATTTTTTGAAAAAAAAAAAAAAAAAGATGACGACTTATTTCCGAATGCTTCATCCTGGATTTGATCTCCAGCTTTCGGATTTCTTTTTTGGTTTTTTTCTAATTTTTTTCCAAAGAAATCTCTCTATTTATGTTCGAAATGTTTACTTCGAAAGTATTAATGTCATCTTTTTTCAATCAAATGTCTGATTTTGTGCCATAATATCATATATCAATTTACCTTTACATGGGTATGTTTAACTTTTTGTTAAATTTTAAGAAAAAATGATTTTTCTTGAAATTCTAAAATTGTTCATCGGATTTCGGACTTGTTTTTGAAATTCCGAAGTTTTTTTTTTCAAAATCCCAAATTTCAGTCTAGAATCCGGAATGTTGGTTCGGAATTCTGGATTATCGGTCCAAAAATATTACTTTTTCGTCAAAAGAAAATGTTTTTTCTCCGTTCATTTCTATTCCAGACTTGGTGGTTATTTTTACAAAAAAAAAACATTTTTTTTATTATTTTCTTCAAATACACATTAAATTATGGTTAAATTACTTATTTTCCCTATTTTATTTATCACTCTATATACACATTGATTAATATGTATGGATATAATTATAGACTAGTAATTTTGAAGATGTCGAGATCGATCCATGATGTAACAAAAGCTTATGTTCAATTTAAATTATCCTATCTCATTTTGTATGACTTGATCTATTTTTATAGCATAATGACACATGTTTTTGGGTTTTTGTGATACAATATATATTGCCACAATGTTTATGTAGTGCAATTTTGCTAATCTTATATATTAAGTTTGATATTAAAACATCGAGTAAAATTGATAAAACATTTCTGAATTTACATGATTTGTAAATTTCGCAGCTTAACAAAAAGAACCATTAATCCTTAATCCTATAAATTATAATTTCACAATCATAATACTTATTATGATACCACATGAATTAAAATAGCAACCAACATTCCATCACAACGAGATGCACAGAAACAGAGACAGAGACAGAGAAACAAGCTTTCTAAGCACAAAACATACATTTCATGTTCTAACCAACAACAATCCATGACAACAAGAAGCATATAATCTGTCTAAAAGTCTAATAAACAACATTCCACCATTTTAGATCAAAATCCCAAACAGCAGAATTGTGGTCCAATTGAGAAAGAAACCTGAATTTACAACAACCCAAAAACAAACCACATTCATCATCATCTTCTTCTTCTTCTTCTTCTTCTTCTTCTTCTAACGAAGATTGAAAACAGCACCATCTGTTTGACCCACAAGCAACTCCTAAATAACATCATCATCAAACAAACATCACATCAGTTTCCAGAATCTTCTAGAAGCGACAAAACACAACCACACAAAAAAAAAAAAAAATAATAATAATAATAATACCATTTTCTTTGCAGTCACAGACTGCTGAAGCCTTGCTTGCTTCTCCCTTTTGCACTCCCCACACCAGTTCACAAACTCCTTTTGATGTTTCTTCAGCTCCCTAAACACAGAACTGAAACAAAAGAAAAAAGTTTTAAATAATTAAAATTAAAATTAGGTCACATATAAAAAAGTTTAAAAATTGTATACCTTCTGCACCACAGTAGTAAATTAAGTCTATGGCCAGACGTGGTGGCTCTAGCACCATGTCGATGGCGCCCACGATGAATAATCGCACGTCCAGGCAAATGCGCATGATCATAAATTTCCTGTAAATTTAAATAAAACATCAAAATGAATTCAACTCTATATTTATATTATTATTAGATTACAACTAAAAATTTAAATTTTAAACTGATAAACATACCTCGGGATGCGTTTCAGTATTCACATGTTTCTCACATCGAACGCCTCTAAAAAACAACTCCCCACCAGTAAAGTGCTTTCCCAAACACACATTCAAAGTCACCTCAGAGTCATCCACATGGAAACCTAGAAATAAAGATATATGAAAATCATATAAAAACCATTACAATGTTAATAAAACAAAAATGTTAGATAGCATACCCAGTTCAACATCTCTATCCATTCCATATTCAACCACAAATCCATGATGGGAATCAAGAGAATACCCTCCAACATCAAGGAAGAAAACTGGATAGCATTTCAAAACAAGAAAAGGTAATTAGCGGATTTTGAAATATTTCTACATCTTTTTAGTAAAACTTACTTTTTGAGATATGGCGTATGAAGTCTTCCATCAGCTTCTCAAGCATGGATTCCATGCCAAAGTCATCAAGAACAGCGCCATACTTGTTCATGGTATTTGGTCGCATGATTCTGAATTTTGTTTCATGGACCCATTTTTCAAAATTTTCTACCTAACCAATCAGAACCTGATAAGAAAATGTAAAAACTAAACTACAGGAAAGAAAAGTTAGTTGCCCAATGACAAGATTATGATTAACGAATTAATACCTCATTTAGCAACATATCACAGAAACGTGGCTGAAGCATATCGAATGTATAGATTCCTGGAGCAGGTTCAGACATTATGCTTCTGATACTTTCATCTCTGTTCTTATCATTGGCACTGAATGCCTTTGAAAATGATTGGACAAAAAAGGTTGAAGGATTCAATGTGTATAGTTCTCTGTACAGAGGCTGAGAAGAAAATCAAAATGTCACAGATCAGATGTGTAAACAAGAACCTTCCAATTCCACTCAACATAACACCTTCAAATTTACCTGATAATTGGATATGATCTTTTGCCTATACTCTCTGTGCTTCTGGTCCTGTTGAAAATGGAGCAATGGAAAAGATGAGTAACAATTCCTTCCGATCGTCCAAAATATGCAAGCAAAATGCAAAATTCAAGCATCGCCATAAGTATATATATATATATATATATATATATATATATATATATATATATATATATATATATATATAT